CGCTCCCGCTCCGCTCCCCTCCCCTCCCTTCGCCGCCACCCTCTCTCCTGCACATGTGCATGTCCTCCTCCGCAGGCTGCACGTCGTTGTCTCCCTCATCACCGGCGTCGTCGCCACCACAGTGAAGCCTCAGCCTATCCTTAACCCTACCCCTACCCCTAGGGACTTGCTCAAGAGCTATAAGCCTATCCTTAACCCTACCCCTACCCCCAGGGACTTGCTCAAGAGCTATAAGCCTATCCTTAACCCTACCCCTACCCCTAGGTCGCCGCGCCGTTCGACTTGCTCAAGAGCCGTGTCATGGCCTCTGCCGACCCCGCCGACGGCTTCGCCTCCGTCCTGCTGCGGCTGCTGCGGCAGGAGAGGCGTCGCGCCGGCAGCGGCTCCATCTCGACCAATCTCGGCTGATCTCGGGGCCACCTCTGCACAGGAGGGCCCTCTCGCGCTCTTCAACGGCTGGCTGCCAACCTATTTCAGGCGCGCGCACGAGACACGCACCCTCGCTTTCCGTGCCGCATCGCCACACTCTCACTGCGCCGTGAGGCCGCCGCCTCTGCCCTGTCTGGTGTCACACGGCGGTGCGCCTTGATGCGGGGGAGGTGCCCTGGCCCGATCCCCGCACTCGCGCGCAACGTTTGCTGACACATCTCCCCCCCCCTTTCCTCCACACCTCAGGCTCGGCCCGCACGCAATCCTCACCTTCCCCCTATTTGAGGCGATGCGGCGACTCCTCGGCCTCGAGTACCTGTAGAGTGTAGTGTGTGTAGAGCCTACTGTGGCGATGTGTCACGTGTATTGAATCGTGTGAAATGACACGGCTCTTGAGCAAGTGCGTGAGCAATACTTTGAATTGTGCGTGAAAGAACTATAAGAAGTAAGGGCATGTGGGAGAGAGGAGGGGGCTAAGCGAGAGCGCGACGTTATAGACTCTAGCCAATTGCTGGGCACCCGACGAGCGACGTTTCATGTGTGGAATTGGTCGTAGTGGTTGTAGGTTCCTAACCCTTTCTTACTAGAGCTATTGCGGGTGGGACAAAAATAAACAAAGTGCAGTGGTCAAACCGCGTGCTAGCTGCTGGTCAACTCCGGAAAACTCTCATCATACTGCCCCGCGGGGCGCACGTTCTCACAGAGTGATCGCCGCGCGCGCCGGTAGCATCATCAGCGCCGCAATCGCAGCGGCGAGCGGGATCGTCGCCACCCAAGTCAGCGCGATCTTGCCGAAGAGGGCGCAGTCCGAGCCGTGCAGCCCGTGCTTTGCCATGCCGACAAAGACGATAGCGCCCACCTGGCAGTGCGTCGACGAGATCGGGAGGCCGAGGCAGGTTGCCACGACGACGGTCACCGTCGAGGCGGACTCGACACAAAACGCCATGTGGAAGTCGATCTCGGCGATGTCGCTGCCGAGCGTCTGGATCACCCGGTAGCCCAGCGTCACCACGCCGAGGGCCACGAAGGCGCCGGCGACGGACATGACCCACCACGGTGTGGCCGTCGAGTCGCACTCGGCCATGTCGGACGAGAAGGCGGTGTACACGGCGGAGAAGGCCGAAGTCGAGTTGGCCTACGTGTCGGCGGACCTCGGGGTGACCTCGGGGCGACCTCGGGGGTTCACGGGCGGACGAGTCTGAGGTCGGGCTGGCCGTGTCGTTTGCTCCGTGAGCAAAGGACTCGAGGAACGCGACGAAGACGACGACGTACCGAAAGACGTGCACCGCGTCCTCGGCGCTCTCGCCTGTTCCCACAGCAGTGGCGTGTCAAAGGCCGCCTCCCCACCTCACCGCGCCCTCGCCGCTCTCTCGCCTGGCTCCGGCTCTTCGGCCCAGCATCCGCACTCGCTCGCGCAGTTGGCGCCTGAGGAGTCGTTCCGCCGAAGATCAAGGGGAGGGCTCCACTCGCTCGCCAGGGGGGGCAGCGGACCCGCCTCGCCTGTCTCGCCGCCCTCCTCGTCGAGCCCGCTCGTGCGCAGCCCCCCTCCGCCCATCGCCGCCGGTGGCGTCGCCTGCGGCTGCAGCGCCATGGCGCGCAGCATGTCTGCGTGCTTCGAGGCGAGCGAGTCGACGAGGGAGAGCTCTCGCCGCACCTCCGGCAGGCACGATTCGCCGTTCAGTGGTCGGCCAGCCAGTCACTAGTGGGGCGAGGGAGAGCGCTCGCCGCGCAGCGGGGGGAGGGGGGGGGGGGGGGGTCGTGGGGACGGCGGCCGCGGGGAGGGGACCGGTGAAGGGAGGGTGTAGGAGGAGAGGGAGATCGGCGCACCTCGAGCACCTCGGCGCCGGGCTCGGGCGCACAGCCCGGGGAGGGGGAGGCGGCAGGGTCCTCCGCGCCGATCCGCTCGCGGAGGGCGCCCAACAATCCGGCGGAGGGCGGCTTGCGCGCAGAGTGAGCTTGCTCTAGGCTGCGGTAGGCGGCCTCGAGCCGCACCAGCCTCGCCGAGAGCTCACGCACCGCCCGGTGGGACTGCTCCTGCTCGGCCCGCAGCGCGCGCACGGTCGGCATCGCTTCTCGCACGCGCGGGGCCAGCAGGGAGGCGTAGGCGTGGGTCAGGCCGGCGACGACGCAAGCGGTGAGCGCCTGCGTGGAGCGCTCGATTTGCTTGGTCGGCTGCGACTTGAGCATGATGAGAAAGGTCATGACCCACGCCGCCGTCGAGTAAAGGAAGGGGGAGAGGAGCAGAGCAGCCGAGCCCGGCCGCGCGGCGTCGAGGGCGGCGAACTTAGTGGCGCGGAAGATGGCAAAGGCGACGGCGCCCGAGAAGAGCGGCGAGATGGCCCAGCTCGCGACGATGGAGGTGAGTCCTCCACTCCACGCCCAGTTGAGGCAGGCGACGCCGTCCATCTCCGCCGAGCCAACCATCGTCATCCCGACCACGCCCGCGACGATGGCGTGCGTCGTCGACACCGGCATCGCCGCGAACGTCGCGAGCAGCAGGAAGAGGGCCGCCGCCAGCAGCGCGCACAGCATGCCGACGGCGTACACGGCCATGCCGCTGTCGCAGTAGCCGCACGCCCAGCAGTCGGGGTCGGTGGTGTCGGCAACACCCTTCTTGATCGTGTCCGACACGCCGTACCCGAGCAGCGTCGCGCCCAGCCACTCCCCGAACCCGCCGAGCGTCACCGCGACAGAGAGAGGCACGGCGCCGGAGCCCACCGTCGAGCCCCAGGCGTTGGCAGAGTCGTTGGCACCGATCGTGAAGCACCTGGTGGCGAGCAGGACGTGGCGTGGTGGCGTGGTGGCGTGCGGCAGCGGCGGGCGTGGTGGCAGTGGCAATCACATGAAGGCGGCGACCATTGAGGCAACGACGAGGAGGCCGAGATTATGCTCCTGCGAGATGTAGGCGTCATTGTATGGAGCACAGGTGTCCGGGTCGGCGAGCGGACTCGCGCAGTCGAAGACCCCGGCGACGCAGGTGGACGACATGCCTCCTACTTGGAGTGGAGGCCCAGCCAGCCGCCGGGTTTTCAATGGGGAGCGCCGGAACTGGTTGCCCCCCACCCGTCGAACACGGGCGTGTTCGACGCGTGTTCGACGCTCAGCCCCCGTGTTCGACGGGGGTGCTGGACGGCGCGGGGGGCTTGCCCTCCGCGCCGTCCGAGGTTGCGGGGATGGCTACCAACCAAGCCGTGGGCGCCGGACCATCGGCCTCCACGGCGGCAACGTCGTCAGCAACCCCAGCTCCTCTATATGTGCCGCACACCTGGCGCGGCGTGCCCTATGGAGCGCCGGCGCTGCAGGCGACAAAGCACCGGTTCCCTTGCATTGGCGCAAGGTGTGCCGCTCAGTCGATGATACACGACCCGCCGACCCTCTGCCAGCCCTACTTCGACTCCAGTCGCGAGCCCGGGGACAGGTGCCGCTTTCAGAGGATGTGCGGGGCGTGTTGGAACGCTGGCGCGCAGCTGTGGTACTCGGCGGCAGAGGCGGCAGAGGCGGCTGCGACTGCAGCGGCGGCTGCGAGCGCGGCGGCCATTAGTGCGGAGCTCTACGCGATCCCCGATGCAGTAGTGGATGCCGCGGTGCGGCAGGCAGAGGGAGGGGAGGCGGCGGCGGCTTCAGACGACGACGCAGAGCGAGGCAAAGAAGGGTGTGCTCTCGATGTGGATGTACGACCGCGCTGCCCAGCTCTACAATGAGCAGATCGTGGCCAAGTACGCCCACTCGACCGCCGCGCCGCCTGATGGGCTGGCGTATGCCAAGACGTCGGGCGATAAGATCAAGGCGGTTTGCGAGAGGTGCACCTCCACCGCCCGCGCGGCCTCGCGCGAGCAGGCGCGCCGCGGTGTCGTGCTCGCTCCGGCCGACCCGGACGGCGAGCATGCGCGCGCGGTGGTGGCGCTGATGGAGCTGGCGGAGACGACCGAGGCGGCGGCGGCGGCGGAGGCGGCGGAGGCGGCGGCGGCGGCGGCGGCGGCGGAGGCGGCGTCACCGGAGGCGGAGGCCGGGCAAGAGCCGGCGGCGGCGGACGTGAAGCCGACGTCGCAGTCGCGGCGAGACTTTGATTACAACTTTGCTGTGTCGCAGCGGGCGATTAGGTCCTCAACTTGTCAGACTCGCCGTCCCGTTTTGGACTCGCCACTCACGCCAGCCACGGAGTACGGTAGGTATACGCGGGAGCAAATCGAGGACAGGGAGGTGACGATCACGACGAGGGTTCAGCGCCGGCTGGCAAAAGCTGTGGGCGCAAAGCAGGCGCTCTCCAAGAGCTTCACCGCCGACAAGCAGCGCACGGCGATCCTCGACAAGATGGATGAAAAGCAGCTGCTGGAGCTGGAGCTGGAGCCCGAACCAGTGCCGGTGCAGTCCAACGCCAACGCTGTGGCGACTATCGGCAGCGGCGAGTAGTCGCTGCCGACCGGGTGCGCGCGGCCCTCCCCTCTCTCATCGCCCTCGCCGCCCTCACCGCTCCCCGCCCTCCAGCCCTCCCGCCCTCCTTGCCACCTGCGCGCCGTTCACTCACACCTTTTCCGTCCTGGCTCACAGGTCTGTGACGCGCACTTTGCGGCATGGCATCCTCCCCCTGGACGGGGCGGGGCGAACGATGCTAGAACTAGCGGGGTGGCGTGTGTTTGGGGATTAAAAGGTGGGCGTAAGGCCGCCCCGGCTCTAGTGTGTCGTCGTGGCTAGTGCAAGGGGCTCTGTCGAGCCGCCTGCGGCGCTCCCGCCGCCGGCGGGGTGCAGCGGCGCTGCGCGCCGCTGCGGAGGCCGCGCTGCGCGCGGGGGAGGGGGAGGGTGTACGGGAACCAGGGGGGACCGGGGAGGGCCTGTGTGTGTGTATGTCCACCCCGCGGCGCCGCCGCTCGCGCCGCCTCGCTGCCGCCTCCACCTCCGCGCCCTCGCCAAGCACTCCGCCGCCCATCCGCCTCCTCGACCTCCCCACGGAGCTCCTCGTGCGCGCCCTCTCTCGCTGCGACCCCGCCGACATCGCTCGCGTCGCCGCCGTCTCGCTGCTCTTCCACGCCTCGCTTGCGCTGGAGGCCATCCGCTTGTGGGCGCAAGAGCGCGGCTTCGAGCTGCCGGCGCAGCCGGAGGGCGAGGGCTGCGCCATGCGGTGGCTGTGCTTTATGGCGTTGCTGCGCGAGTCCAACCCGCCGGCGAGGGCGGCGGCAGGCCGGCACCACAGCGTCTTCATCGACGGCGAGGGGCGGCTCTCGTCGTGCGGAAAGGTTGAGAGCTGGACGCCGGGACTGCTCGGGCACGGCGATGAAGTGACGCAGCTCAACACGCCGACCCGCCTTCCTTCCCCGCTGGGCGGCGAGCGCGCCGTGAGCGTGTCGGCTGGAGAGTACCACAGCCTCGCCATCACCGCCAACGGCAGTGTCTGGAGCTGGGGCCAGGGAGGCGACGGCCCGCTGGGCCACGGCGACGAGCAGAACCAGTGGCAGCCGAAGAAGGTCGAGGCCTTGGCTGACCAGCGCGTCGTCGCTGTCTCAGCTGCAGAGAGCCACAGTCTCGCCATCACCGACGACGGCGCTCTCTGGAGCTGGGGCTTTGGAGATGATGGCCAGCTGGGCCACGGCGACCAGCAGAGCCAGCTGCTGCCCAAGAAGGTCGAGACCTTGGCGGGCCAGCGCGTCGTCGCCGCGGCGGCTGGAGAGTACCACAGCCTCGCCATCACCGCCGATGGCGCTGTCTGGAGCTGGGGCGGTGGAGCCTATGGCCGGTTGGGCCACGGCGACGAGCAGATCCAGCTGCTGCCCAAGAAGGTCCAGGCCTTTGCTGGCCAGCGTGTCGTCGCTCTGTCGGCTGGAGAGTACCACAGCCTCGCCCTCACCGCCGACGGCGCCCTATGGAGCTGGGGCTCTGGAGTCGATGGCCGGTTGGGCCACGGCGACACGCAGCGCCAGCTGCTGCCGAAGAAGATCGAGGCCTTGACTGGCCGGCGCGTCGTCGCTGTGTCAGCCGGAGTGCAGTACAGCCTCGCCACCACCGCCGACGGCAGCGTCTGGAGCTGGGGCCAGGGAGCCTATGGCAAGTTGGGCCACAGCGATCAGCAGCGCCAGCTGCTGCCCAAGAAGGTCCAGGCCTTTGCTGGCCAGCGCGTCGTCGCTGTGTCCGCTGGGGCCTACCACAACCTCGCCCGCACCGCCGACGGCGCCGTCTTTACCTGGGGCCAGGGCGAGTACGGCTGCCTCGGCCACGGAGAGGACCTGTCGAACCAGCTGCTGCCCAAGAAGATCGAGGCGTGGGCGCCGGGGCAGTGATGAGAAGGGCGAAAGGGTGCGAGGCTCTGTGTTGCCGCGTCGCCCACGCGCCTCTTCGCCACCCGCGAACGTATCCGCGAGGATGGTGAGAGGCGAAGTCGAGTCTCGAGACGGAAGAGCATAACTTACGATCGGGGCGCCTGGCACCTCTAGTCCTGTCAAGGCCGCGGGCTGCGATGTGGGGCGTTTATGAGAGAGAGAGATTTTTAGCAATACCAAACAACTCTAACACAGCCGCGCTGCGGAGCCACACCCTTCGAGCCGCGTCCCGTCGGCACCGTCCCTGAGTGCGTCCCCCCGCCTTGGCGGCACACACTCTCGACGAGGACAGTCCGGCCTACGGGAACGTGTCGCGCGCCGGCGACGGTTGCGGCGTGGTGGTTCGAGTACGAAGCGAACAGCAGCAGATTTTCTTTTTTCTTTTCAGTCCCGTGCCCAGTGTTGTAAAGAAAGAAAGAAAGAAAACACACAACCCAAGGGAGGGATGGGAGAACGGCACGCCGTCACCACACAGGGATTTTAAGGAGAGGAGAGTGTGATGCGCTAGCCGTCGCCCACCCTGGGGAGTCTGCCTCTTCGTATCTCTTTTCGCAGTCTCTCGCCGCTTCTCGCTGCAACCTTCATGCCACCTCGCGGCCGTCCCACTCTCGTCGTTCTCTCCCTTGTCACTTCCTCCTCTGTCGCGTCGTTCTCTTCTGCCTCGTCCTGCGACGCCGCCGCCTGCCGGTCCCTTGTTCTCGCGGCTTCTTTCGCCTTGCGCAACTCCGTCCTCCTCGCGGCGTATCCTGGCCCCTCGAGTCTATCGAGCTCCCCTCGCGCAAGGACCACATTTCTGACTCCCACTCCGATCATTTGCCTCCAAGTCATATCGTTGCTCAGATCCACTCTCTCTTCGAACACTCGTGCCTCTACGGATGATGCCGGCGCTGGGGTCCCCTTCGGATGCATCGTGAATCTGACAACTGAATTTCCACTGGTTCGTCCTCCTCTGAGTCATCTTCCCCGTCCTCCTTCCGCTCGGCCCTTCGCTCGGTACGTTCGGTGTGGCTCACTGTTGTGCGAGGGAGTTTTGCCAGTCTTTTTGACCGCGCAAGATAAAAGGGTGGCTAAGGGCTCTGCCCGCAAGGCGCCCGCGTCGCAGACGCGGTACCATTGACAAATCTGCGATATACCCCCACACGAGCAAATAGCAAAATCCGAATACCGTGCACGAATCCGACGATGTCGGACCCAAGCCTTCAGCTGGTGCCAAGACATTCGTAAAATTGAAGCCAAGAATCCGCCAAAGCCGTGCTTTCGCGCTACCTGAGGGGAAAGCCGCTGATCGAGCCCAGCGTGCCCGCGGCCGCCTCCCGCGCAGCACCGCCGCTGCGGAATCGGATCGAGCCCATGGAGGAGGAGGGCGCAGTCGGCCAGCGCAGCAGGCGGAGTCCCTCCCCGCGCCGGAGCCCCCCTGCAGTCGAGGGAGTCCTCGTTGGCGATGAAGGTGGCGACATCGAATCGCGGCCGACACACGTCACGGGAGGAATGGGCGATGAGCGGGAACGATGCGCGCTACGACGCCGACTCCGCCGTGCTCGTGGCGCAGAAAGCCGCGCTCCAGGAGCACGCCAAGATGCAATGGCTCGCTTGCTTCGATTCAGCTCTCTCGGCAGCAGAAGTGGGGCTGGAGCGGGTGGGGGTGGATGCCGATTGAGGGGGAGCGTCTCCAGCTGCGCCCTGTGGCAGCTGCGCCCTGTGGCAGCTAGTCGAGGGACTTGGTAGTTGTGACCCCCCTGAGTGAGGACAGGAGAGAGAGAGCGTTTTGTGGTGTTGGTGTACGCAATAACGGGACAGGGTGGTTGTTCTCTCTATCTCCTCTTCTAGCTCTTAGCATGAGCTGCGCCCGGTGTCCGACCCCTTTTGCGCAGCAACACCTTAAACTTTTAGGCCCTCCAAATTCGGGTCGGAGCGTAGCGGAGTGGGCCCCGAGTTTGAAAAGGGCGACGGACGCTTGCGTCCTAGCCTCCAACAACGCCTCCCCGGCGCAGAGGGGCCCCCGGAGGGATGCACAACCGCTCCACGCCACGCCGCTTGCGGCGGTCCTCTTCCCAGCTCCGCTGAGGGCCCGCGCGTTATTCTTTTTAGCGCACAGATGGTGGCCAGCTCGAGCAGCGCGCTCGCTCGTGGCACCGTGGCTCTATCGCTCAGCCGGCGCGCCGCGCTTCTGCCGCTGCTCGCGGCGGCTGGGCCGTCGGCGCTGCGTCCGGCCGGCGCGAGCGCACCGCAGGTCGGCTACAAGACAGCGTCGGGCCTGCGCTACTTTGACTTTGCGGAGGGGAGCGGCGCGCCGCCGCGGTTCGGCCAGCTGATCCGCTTCCACTACGTCGGCTACACCGCGACCGACGACTCGCTCGAGCCCTTCGACTCGTCGTACGAGCGCCGGACGCCGTACTTCACAAAGCACGGGAACGGCTTCACCGTGCAGGGGCTGGAGGAGGCGCTGCACACGATGAGGCCGGGCGGGCGGAGGCGCGTCATCCTGCCGCCCAAGCTCTCGTACACCGCCAACAAGGGCCCGCTGCCGCCGGGCGGCGCCGCGCGAGACACGCTCTTCTCGGCAGTCGGCCGCAAGGTTCCGAGACACTCCCTAGACACTCCCTAGACACTCCCTGGACGCTTCCTAGACCATGCCTGACACTCCCTGGACACTTCCTAGACCATGCCTGGACACTTCCTAGACACTTCCGACACTGCCTCGACTGCGTCGACACCGCCGAGGGGCGCACCCACTTCCTCAGGAGCCGCTCATCTTCGACTTGCAGCTCGTCTCTGTCGCCGATGATCGGCTAGACCGCGGAGACTACGACGAGGACGACGGCTCCGACGTTGCCGACCTCGCCGCCGCCCAGTCTCCCTCCCCGGACGGCACCCCCTCCCTCTCGGGCTTTCAGGCCTCATGCCTCCCTCACGCCTCCCTCATACCTCCCTCGTATCTCCCTCAGATCTCCCTCGTATCTCCCTCATATCGTCTCTCCCTCGTCTCTCCCTCAGACCACGCCTCCCTCCCCGGACCGCCAGGCCGCGAACGGCAGATGACGAGCGGAGCTCCGTGCTGCGATTGCTCGAGGTGCCGAGATCGTCCGAGATCGTCCGAGATCGTCCGAGATCGTCCGAGGCCCCGCCCCCCACCGACAACGGCCGGGCCGGCGAGAGGCATGCCGCGACCCGGGGGGCGCGAGGGCCCGACAGTGCAAAGCACGCGCCGGTCGAGCGATCGACTGGTGGCGGGCACGGCAGGCTTGGAGGCGTGCCCCGCGGCGGAGAGAGCCGCGCCGCGGCTGCTGTGGCGCGCCTCCGCTCCCCTGGCCCCCAGGCCCAGCGCGCGCCGATGAGCCCCCAATACCCATCCAGGGCTAACCGCCGGCCGCCGCCGCCGCCCCCCGCGGCGCGCGTGCGGCGGTTCGTGCAACCGTGTCCCTCAACTCTCAAGCCGCGCCAGCCCGCGCGCGTGAGGCGCTGACCGCGCTCCGCCCCGGCCCCCGCCTGCCGCACATCTCAGGCGCGCGCCGCGCGAAGGGGAGCTCTACCGCGAGGGCTCTGCACTGCTGTGGTTGCTGCTGCTGCTGGTGGGCGCGGAGGAGAGGTGTGTGGAGTGTGCGGCTGTAGAGAGAGGATACGTCAGAAAAGCGAGCTGTTGTGTTTTGAAAAGTCAGACCGCGTCTCTTGCGTCACATATTGTTGTGGTGACGTGGGACTCTCCAGAGACTTCAATCTTCATGGATTATCACACGTGTGCATGTGCATCTGCATGTGCATGTACGACACATGTCACATGATGGTGTGCGGTTTTAGCTTTACAATCAACGCAGACGCTAAAAGCCGTTTACAGCAGCACACGCCGCACATCGCGACGCCGAACGAGGATGAAGCAGGATGTGCATTGTGGTCTCGGTCTCGAACCAGTCTCGAACACATGGGCGTCGAGCTCGGTGCCGGCTCTTGCTGAAGTCGGACGGAGCACTTGGAGCACTTGGAGCTGTCACGTCCTTTTCATGCCGCGGTAGAGATAGACGCGGCGCATCGCCGATGAGCAGAGCTTCAGCTTGACTACCCAGTCTACCGGCTCTAAAAAGAATTTTTTGTGCAGTTTCGCGGCAGCTTCGCGTCATGATGCCTGTGTACTCGCTCGTTTCGCTCCTGCCGCTCATCGCCCACGCTGTCGCCCTGCATGGTTCGCCACCTTCAGCTGAGCTGATCCCGCACGGCACGCTGCGGCTTGCACAGCCGGCGTCAACATTCAGCCTCCTATCGTGGAACATTCTTCTCCCGAATGGCGAGGACAACTGGTGGTGCGAGAAAATGTATCAGCCGCACGTGCCGCACGACTGCCGCCAGTGGTCGCATCGGCAGCGGCTGATCAGAGACCGTCTGCTGCTCGCGGACGCCGACATTGTCTGCGTGCAGGAGGCGGCAGGCGACACGTTTGCTTCCGACTTTGAGTTCCTCCATGCCGACGGCTACGAGTCCGTGCTTCACAAGAAGTTTCGGTTCCGGTGCGCCACCTTCTACCGTCCGTCTGCCTTCAAGCTGCTCTCCGTCGCTCACGAGGATCGAGCCCTCGTGGCCAAGTTTGCCTCAGCGTCCGACCCGTCGCTCGCGCTATTCTTGGCAAATGTGCACCTCAGCGGCGGAGCGTCGCCCGACCGGCGGCTGCGTCAGGTCCATGGTGTGACGGAGCGGGTTCGCAAGTGGGTAGCCGCTGACGCAAAGAAACCGCCTCCCAAAGGGCGGCGAGGCAGCGCCGCCCGACGAGCACAGGAGGCCAGCGACGCGGAGGCTGCCGCCAGCAGGAGGAAGACGGAAGCTTCGCCTCCGCGCGTCATCATCACGGGCGACTTCAACTCGGACGGCAACACAGCGGTGCGCCGGCTCCTGGTCGACGGCAGCGTGGAGCCGGAGTGGCGTGAGCCGCAGTACAATGAGGTCGAGCTGACGTCCAAGCCTCGGAGGCACGGGCTTGGCGCGTTCGCCGACGCCGGCGAGGTTGCGTACGCACAGAACGTCTGCGACGGCGACTGGGGCGACTGGGGCGGGAGGATCGACTACGCACACTACCGCGAGCGCCGACCCGCCACGTACGTCGTACCCTCGCTCGGTGCCGCCTTCCTCGAGCGCTCGCGGAGGTCGACGAGTCGGCAGCAGCTCGTGGCGGACAATGAGATGCTCGAGCGGCTGGTGCGGAGCCAGGAGGGCCGCGCGCCGCCGGTGGCACCGCCACGGAGCTTGTCGGCGGCGGACCTCGCGCTCTGTGACGCGACGGCGGGCGCCGACGCGCCGTTCGTCGCTGCGTGCCGGCGCGCCTTTGACGCCATCGACGCGGACCGCGGCGGCTCGCTCTCGGCCGCCGAGCTTCGCCAGGCCCTGGCACTGCTGTCCGTGCTGGGCCCCAACGGCGAGGAGCCGAGCGCGGCGGACGCCGATGCGATGCTGAGCGCGGCGGACACGGACAGCAGCGGAGAGGTCGCGCCAGCACGAGAGCGGGAGGAGAGTCTCACGCCGAGGCCGCACTTGGCGAGATGGGCCGAGAGGAGCCGCGATGAGCCGAGCAGGGGTGGCGGCCTCACGGTGCCACACGCCGGATGAGGAAGTACATGTGCATGTGCATGTGCGATGGCACCCTCGCCCTTGCTCTTCCTCTCCCCCTCCATGCCCTCGCCCCCGTACCCCTCACACTCCTCTCCCCCCCCCTCTCCCCCCCCCCCCCCCGGCAGGTTGACTTTGGCGAGTTCGTCGACATCGTCCTCTCGAGCGGCGAAGGCGGTGTCAGCGGCTGGTGGGCCAGGTTCCTCGAGATGCTCCGTGGCGGCGGCGACGGCGACGGCGCTGACAACGACGGCGGCGGCGGCGCTGGCCACCAGCCGGAGCTCGTGCGGCTTGAGTCGGAGGCCGACGTCGAGAGCCTGATCGCGCGCTTCACTGCCGCCTTCCGCGCGGCGCTGGATGCGCTGTTCGACCGGCTCGCCGAGGGTCCCGCGGCCTTGGGGGCGGAGGGCGGTGAGGAGCTGGTCATCCCTGAGAGCGCGGCGCTGGCGTGGCTCGAACTCATCAACCGCGAGCTCGGCCGCGGTGGCACCCGACCCCTAGATGCGAGACGTAGACGCGTGCATTCCGACTGGCTCTCGAGACGTCACGCCCTGGGGCGTGTCGCGCACACGCGGCGCTCCGCATACACGACACCGGCCTCCGCACCCTGACGCGGTGTGATCGCAGCGCAGGCACCTACCGCGGCGCGATGGCTGCCTTTGAGCGGAGCGAGGCGGCCACAGGCCGGCGCGAGCTCACGAGGCGCGCCTTCCACGGCATCTTTGCGCGCGAGCTCGGCGAGGGCAAGTGGTGGCAGGTGCGTGGCTTGACGCCGCCGACACCATCGTCACCGCCCTCACCACCACCGCCCTCGCCGCCGCCAGCCCCCCACCGCCCTCGCCGCCCCCCACCGCCCGCGCCGCCCCCCACCGCCCCCCACCGCCCTCGCCGCCCCCCACCTGGCAGGTGGCGTACGACCTCGATGCCTCGGGCATCTCCCTCGCCGAATTTGACGTCGGCAAGGGCGCGGCGAGCCCCCCTCGGCGGCATTACGAGGCGTGGCTCGACTACGCCTACTACACGGCAAATAGCTTGCGGCTGGCAGGCTACCAGGAGAGCCTCAGCGAGGAGCAGGCACGGCGAATCTACAAGGACGGCGACGCGTTGCCCAACGCGTGGCACCCGAGTGACCACATTCCGGTGGGATGCGTGTTTGAGTGGGGATGACGATATGAGACGAATTGAGATCCTTGTGTCACGGGGATGTGTTTTCGAGAGAACTTAACGTAGGAACTAGGATGACGTCTTTGTTTTATCGTGTATTGCAACGCCCTTAGACGTCTTAAGAGAGAGATCGAGAGGGAGGTACCAACACACATACTGTACATGCTTGCTCAAACGAACGGCGCATTCGTCAAGAGTCTATCCCGCTGATCCCGCCTTCGCCCTCGCTGCCTCAATTCCAGCCTCCATTGGAGGAGAGCGGGGAGGTGCCGCGCCGCCCGCGCCGCCCGCGCCGCCCGCGCCGCCCGCGCCGCCGTCTCCTCCGGCAATCTCTCTTAGCATCGCAGCGAGATCGACGTCGCCGCTGGGCGTGCGCGGCAGCACGTGCGTGGCGGAGCCGCCCAGGCACGCAGGCAGCACGGCCGAGTCGAGGCCGAGCTCCCTCCGGCGGAAAAAGGCGCGGAGCTGCTCCGTCTGCCCAAAGAAGTGGATCCGCCTCGCGGTCGACGCGGGGATAAAGTGCCGCGCGAGCGAGAAGAGGATGCGGTTCGTCCGCGATGCAGGCGCCACGACGGCGCCGGCGAACCGCTCCGGCGAGCCTCCGAACAGAGCCGCCAGGCTTCGCCTCGCCACGGCCACCGCGCGCGTGAGCGGCACCTTTGGGCCGAGACTGAAGCCGTCCGCACACTCAACGTACACGAACCGGTCGCAGCGAGGTGCCTCGCTGCGACCGTCGCTGTCTCCAACGGCAGCACCCACGCCGGATCCGACTCTGCAGCCCTCGCCTGCCCGACGCGCGCGGGTGCCGACCACCCCGACTTCAATCAGCGTGGCGACGGCGCGCCCCCACGCAGAGGGCTCGGCATCGCGCAAGTCCATCCGCCCGGTGTGCGCCCACATAATCGGGCCGCCCGAGGCGTCGAAGCCGTGCCAGTACAGAGCGCCGCGGCGCAGCACCCTCCCCGCCTCTTGCAGCGCGGCGTCGGAGAGCAGGGGCTCCGCCGCCCCACCCCGCAGCAGCCGAACGACCGCGGGGATCGCAAGCACGGCACTGTGCGTCGACGCCGGAGCTGCTCGCAGCGTGCCGCCGGCGCAGCGGGCAGCGCCGCCGCCGCCGGTCACGAGGCCGCGGCGGTACTCCACCGCGGCGCACAGCTTGCGCTCCGCCCACAGCGGGTCGCGCGAGGCCGACTTTTCCAGCAGCGCGCTCAGGTAGCCCTCGTCGTCCAGCGCCGCGGGGAGGCCGCCGCCCGGCCACAGCGCCTCGCCTTTTCCCCGGAGCGCCGCGAGCCGCTGCCGCCATTCTCGGGAGTGGCTGCTCGGCGCGGGGAGCGGCGCGCCTGCTGGGCTGGCGGGCCGCGCTGACGGCTCGGAGGCGCTGGCTGTTTGCGTCGCTCTGCTGATCCGCCTCGCAGAGGACGCTGTCGTCTTGGCCCTGACGTGCGTGCGCCACCGCTCGGCTAGCACACCGATGCAGAAGGCTAGGGCGGCGGCCGACGAGGTCTGCAGGATTGACGTCGCACCCAGCGCGATGCAAAGTCCAAGCATTGCTGCGAGTGCGGCAGAGAGCAGTAGCGAGTTGTGCGCGACGGGAGCAGGGCGGGAAGCACGCTGTCCGGGACCGGCACGCTCCTCTCTTGCGTGGCGTGTAGGCCTGGCGCCTCGCTCCTTCTCTCGCGTTTCTTCCTGCTGCGGAGGTTGTCGTGGTGGCGGCGGCGATGGCGGTGCCGGCGGCGGCGGTGGCGACGGCGGCCGTGGAGTTGAAAAATGCACAGCGCACTCATCGGTACGGTGGCTCGCGTGCTGCGCAGTGGCTGCTATACCACCGGCTCCCTGACCACGGTCCAACTGTCGTGCCACGGCTGACTTGCACGTTGTGCACTGCGGCCGATCAAAGTGTTTGTCGCACACGCTCATGCCGCAATCTCGACAGTGGTGGCGGCCGGCGAGGTAGAAGCGGGCGCCACACACCTCACACGCCCAACGACGGTGTCGAGGCGAGCTGAGGTGCGGCTCGCCTTCCATTGGGCCGGGTCCGTGCGCCCGGGGCCCCAAGCCCACAACCGCGGCAGGCGCGACATCTCGTTTTCTTCTTTGTTTTTCCGTTCTAGCCCTCATCGTGAGGGTGTTGAGTGCGCGGAGCTAAGGTGCTACACGGTATCGCTTGGCCCGAGCGAGCACACCAAATTAGAGGCCACCGTCGCGGCAACTTTTTGGAAGTCCACTGCTCTCTGCAAACACTCGCAAGCTCGGTGGAGGCGCTCGCTCGGCATTTGTTTGCTCTCCAAAATTGGCCCTCACTAATAAAAACAGCGATGCTCCTGATATTCTCACAGGGCAACTGCACAAGATGGCTCATGCGGGGGCGATCGCGCGTGGCTGGTGCCGACGCCGCTTGGGCTGAGCTTGAAAACACATGGCCGCGCTACATACACGCGCTCCCGCCCTGGGCTCGCGGAGATGCCCTCTTAGGCGGCCTCACCGGCACCGGAGACTCGAGCGTCGCGATCGAGTGCCTATAGGAGGGTGCCGAGAAGGCTGCCGGGAGATGGCTCCCTCCTCTTCCATGCGTGCTCCCGATACCGAGTGCCACTCCAACGGCAACGTGCGCCCCTGGCTTTCCGGTGGGGTGCCGCCCATCCGCCTTATTGAAGCAGGCGGCGCCCGTCAGCCACAGGAAGAGGAGCACGCTCAGGACGACGAGGGCCAAGACGCCGACGACGATGCCGACGATGCCGATGATGCAGCCGGGTCATCGTCGCCGTCGGTCGTCTTCAACAGCGCATGCAACGGTGCACGGATCCTCTGGGGGCGGTGCAGAAGGAGGAGGTGCACACTCAGGGAGGCTACTCAGCGTGAAGTCGCGTCGCGGGTCAACTGATTCTCAACAAAGCAAATCGCGTCCCCGCCCCATAAGCCCAAAGAACCACCACCAGCGGCGCTGTTCTCATCGCAGAGCATGGCGTGCAGACAATTGTTGCAGTAAGTCGAGCCCTCGATGTACGCCGATTGAACACGGAGTGGGCAAGTAGCCGCCTTGCACATGGCTGGAAAGGCTAAGAGGGCGGGAACGTCGTTGGAAGGTTGTCGCAAGGCGGGATCGCTGAGCGCAAGAACAGCCGGCTATGCGAGTTCGCAACGAAGCAGTGCATGTAGCCATCTTCGTAGGTGTTGATGGCCTGGTGACAGTTGTGGCAATAGTTCTCGCCATTGATAGTCGCAGATGAGACCCCGATCGGGCAGCTTGGCGAGGCGCGGCAGACAGTGGCATTCGTGTTCTCGAAGTCTGCAGCGGTCACCGAACCTCCGAGCGCAACTACCTAGGTATCAAGCAGGATATAAAAACGTGACAGTCCAAGCAAAACGCGCCATGTAAACGAAATCACGAAGAGCAAGAGTTGTTTCGCGGCGTCTTCCTTCAGCTGTTTTGAAAAAGAAGAAAAGAGCGGAGCTTAATCGCCAACTGCGCTTCTTAGCTCCCCGCCCGGTCCTGGCTGGGCGTGCGGCTGATAAAACTGCACTCCAAGTGCTTCCAAGTGCTCCAAGTGCTCCAAACTCGACAAAAACGCGCTGCAACAAAGTTTGAAAACGCTTGTCTGTTTTCTTTCTTTGTTTGTTTTTACCCATCTCACAGTAGAGGTGTCCGTTTTATTTATTTATTTATTTGTTTGTTTTACAAAATTTCTCCGACTGCGCGCAGTGGCACTAGCACTACCAGCTACCAGGTGTGTGCGTAAAAAATGGAAATGAAGAACGCGCGAACGGCGGCCAACGGACTCTTCGCGGTGTGTTTTTGAAGCTCCATCCAGATCGACACAACACGGACCATTTGACTAGAAGACCTTGACTAGAGACCTAAAGCTTGACCACGAGGACAGAAGACCGAACTTAACAGAGACCTAAATCAGAGGTGGTTCATCGCTCAAACGACAAACCTCAAGCACACGCAGCAGCACACGCCCCGTGGCCCAGGGAGGCCTGGCCATCCACGATCGGCGCAGGGCCGCCGTCTGCGCCACCGCTGGGCAGGTCGTCGCGAGCCGCTATCGAGTTCAGGAAGGATGCGATATGGGCAGCAGCCGAGGCGGCCAGCGCGGGTTGCTGGAGAAAGGTGAAGTGCGAGCCCTCCACCACCACCTCGTGCGGTGCGCTGCCCGCCCCGCACTGCGCCTGGTAGGATGGCGACGGTGCAAGGGCGCACCGGACGGCGCTGGCAAAGAGGCCCCCCGGCGCTGCAACGCCCATGGGATGGCGGATCGACTCTCGCGCCCGGAGCAGGAGCACTGGGCCGACCGCCTCTCGTCGCGCGGAGGCTCGATGCGCGTAGCGCGAGCCGGCGCGGAGCAGGCTGCGAAAGGCCGGAGCGAGCCGGTCGAGTTGAGCAGCGACGTCGTGTGGCGCGGCAGCACGCATCTCGCTCAGCAGCGCGTCGGTCGCGGCGTCGGCGAGCGGCTCGCTCGCCCAGCCAAGCCACCGGGGCAAGTTGCCGCACGGCAGCGGGTCGAGGAGTACCGTCGCGGCGGGGGGCGCCCCCCGCGCCGCGAGCTCGCCGCCAACCTCGCGGCAGAGAAGCGCGCCAAACGAAAAGCCGAGGAGGAGAGGCCTCTCGGCCGGAGCGCCACCGCCGCCCTGCGCGCCGAGGATGCGATCCGCGAGGCACACGGCGACGGCCTGCACCGAGGCCTCGGCGCCGAGCGATTCGACGAGGTCGGTGTAAGGCAGGCCGACGAGGGTGGCGTTGGACAGCCGGGCGGCCAGCAGGGCAAACTCGACGAGGCAGACGCCTGGCGCGCCGGGCAGGTAGTACGCGACGCGCCCCGATGGCCGCAGCGGGCCTCGAAGCATCCCCCGATGCGCCAAGCGCGTCAGATCCAGCTGAGACAGCCCTCGCAGCCATGGAGGCGCCTCAAAGGAGGGCTCCGCAGCCGCCGCGTTCGCTAGGCCGCAGAGGCGCAGCGAGGCGGCGCGCGGTGTCGGCTCTTGCAGGATCAGCGCGAGGATCGTCTCTTGGTCCAGGGCCGGCCCGCCCTCTGTCGTGCCGGGCTCGAGGCGCAATCTAGACTGGAGCGTCGCCGCGATCCCCATCGCGAGGAGCGAGTCCAAGCCAAGATCCACCTAAAGAGCGCTCGAGCGGTGAGAAGAAAGGAGCGCGTAGGGGGCGGAGCGAGGAGTGAGGTGCACCAGGGGCGTATCCAGCAGCGCGTCGGAGCTGCCGCCGCGCCCGCCACCGGCCGCTGCAGTACGCTCCTCGGGCTCGGTGTCACCCATATGAAGGTGGTCGCGCAGTGTGCCCACAAATGCCTCGGCCACCTCGCCCTCGCCAAGCAACGAGGGCGTGGAGCTTGCATCCGCCGGGCCGTCCTCGTCGCCCCTGCGCGGGATCTCCCAAAAGAAGGGGCGTCGCCGGTACACTAATGCGCTGGCGGGGGTCAGTAGCGACCCGGCAGCGGCCTCCTCCGAGCGCACCACCGCGTGCGCGATGGTGCCGCCGAGGCCGAACGAGCTCACTCCGCCGCAGGCAGGAGCTGTGGCCGCTGCTCCGCCGCCCGCGCCCGCGCCGAGCGGCGCGAGCTGCGTCGGCAGCGCGCAGCCACGCCCTCGGATCGCGCCGCCGACGTGCGGGTTGAGCGCGCGCAGCTGCGCGTTTGGCGCCGCCTGGCTCGAGCGCAGCCGGAGGCTGAGGGTGAGCAGCCCCACAGCGCCCGCCGCCGGCTCGGCGTGGCCCACGTTGGCCTTGATGCCGCCAAGCGCGGGCGCACCCCCGCCGCCGCCCAACGCGGGCAACACGGTCGCCGACAGCGAGCCAGCCTCGATCGGGTCGCCCAGCCCGGTGCCAGTGCCGTGCGCCTCGACGTGGCACATGTCCACGGCCTGCACGCCCGCCTGCGCCAACGTCGCCCGCAGCAGCGCTTGCTGCGCCGGGCCGCTCGGCGCGGTCAGGCTCGCACTCTTGCCGTCCTGCCGCACCGCTGCGCCAAGCACCTCGGCCGCCGTGCCGCCCGCCGCGCCGCCCGCGCCGCCCGCCGCGCCGCCCGCCGCCGGCCGCAGCGCAAAGGCGGCGCACGCCTCGCCGCGCGCGAAGCCGTCGGCGCGCGAGTCGAAGGTGTGCGAGCGGCCCGACGGTGAGGTCATGCCGCCCGTGGCGAGCATGATTGGTGTCAGCGGGGAGATCATCATGTTGACTCCCGCCAGCAGCGCCTGCTCAACCTCCCCGTCCCGGATCGCGAGGCTGGCGCCGCTGCACGCGACGAGGCCGGAGGAGCAGGCGGTGTCGTAGGCGACGCACGGCCCGGTCAGCCCGAGGACAAACGACAGCCGCCCCGCCGCAAAGCAGTGCCCGCTCCCCGTGAGCCCGTACACGCTGAAGCCCTTTCCTTGCGCGACCGGTGCGTACTCGGTGTACGAGATGCCCACAAAGACGCCCGTCGCGCTGCCCAGCAGCGCCTGCCTCTGCAGGCCGGCGCCGTGCACCGCCTCGTAGCCGTGCTCCAGCAGCAGCCGCTGCTGCGGGTCCATCATCGCCGCCTCCGCCGCCGAGACGCCGAAGCGCGCGTTGTCGAAGAGCTCGGCGCCGACCATGAAGCCGCCCCAACAGGCCCGCCTCCGAACCGACGCTGACAGCGAGGCTGGCAGCTCCCACCTCGCGGCGGGCACTTCGCCCACGGCACTGACGCCGCAGAGCGCCAGCCGCGACGCGCCCGCCGCGCCCAGCGCCCCGCCCGGCAGCCGGCAGCTCGAGCCCGCGATGACAGCGGTCTGCGAGCTGTCGTGAGCACGGGCGGCCAAGGCCGGCCCGACGGCGACATCGCGCTGGAGGGAGGTGTGGAGCAGGCGCGCGGTCGGGTGGTCAAAGACGAGCGTCGCAGGCAGCGGGTCCTCCGCAAAAGGCTGCAGCTGATTGCGCAGCTCAACCGCGCCAAGCGAGTCGATCCCCGCCTCCATGAGAGGTGAGTCTGCGTCAACGCCGTCGACGCCGACCACGCTTTGCACGGCCTCGAGCACGTCGTCCAGCGTGGCCAGCGCTCCGCTGCCGCCGTGGCCCTTGTCTCTTGACCGCGCGGACGCATCGCCAGCACGCTTGCCGAAGCGGGTAAGCATCGGCCTCAAGAACGATGACGCTGCTCCGTTGCCGTATCGCCTGCTGGCCGCGCCGAGCGCACGCCAGTCTATCGGCGCCACGGCCATCACCGTGGCGCACGCTCCAAACAGCGCGGCGCCGATGGCATGCATGGTCAGCTCACTCGACACGGGCCGCATGCCGCGCATCGCGATGAAGCGGTCCATGTCGGCATGGCGCGCCGCGTAGCCCACCTCAGCCACGGCGCCCCACTGCGAGCTCTGGCCGTGAAGGCCGCGCGCGCTCCGCACGCTGGCGAGGCAGTTGAGCCACGCGCTCGCGGCCGAGTGATTGCATTGACCCGATGAGCCGAGCAGGCTTGCCACGGAAGACGTCATTGCGAGCCGTAGCGAGCCGAGCGTCGCGACCGAGCGGTGCAGGTGCGAGGCGCCGTGCACCTTTGGGCCGTAGACGGCAGCCAGCGTCCGCTCGCTCTGGCTGCCCAGAACGCCGTCCGAGACGACGCCCGCAGCGTGATAGACCACGCGGAGTGCGCCCACCCCCGCCGCTGCGCCAACCAGCCAGCGAGCCTGCGACTCGTCCCCCACGTCGCACGCGAGCACCCGCACCCGACAGCCCCCTTCGGCGCTGTCGCTCACCAGCTGCGCCCAGTCCCGCTCGCTCCGGTTCTGCACCCGGCCGGTGCGCGAGGCGAGCAGCAGGCCGTCCACCGATGATGACGAGACCATCGCGAGCGCCGCGCGCAGACCGAGCCCGCCGAGCCCGCCCGTGATGAGGCCGGCGCCGCCTGCGGCGCCTGCGCCGTGGTGTGGCGCCGTCTGCGCCACCATGACGGCCTGGTACGACAGCCAGCCCCGCCCGGCGGTGCGCTGCGACGACGCGAAGCCGCAACTGCTGAAGGCCGCGCGCCACTGCTCCCACGACATGAGCGGGCTCTCGTTGGCGGCGCGCAAGGCGTCCTTCTTGAAGAGCCACCAGCCGTCCGTCTGGCCAAAGACGACCTGTACGAAGCGGAACACGCGCACCGCCTCGTTGACGACGAGGGCGCCTCCCGGCCGCAGCAGCTGGCGGCAGTGGCGCAGGGCGGTGAGCACGCTCGGCGTGGCGTGGAGCACGTTGGCCGCCACGACGAGGTCGAGCTCGTGCGAGGCGAAGCCCTGCAGCCTCGGGTCGGCGTCAATGTTGAGCAGCGCGGCCTCGAAGCAGGCGAACGAGCCGAAGCGGCGCGCCGCCTGGCGCAGGAAGAAGTCCGACACGTCGGTGAAGATGTACCGGTCGCACGCCGGCGCCAGCACCGGCAGGACCTGCGCGGCCGTGCCGCCGGTGCCCGCACCCACCTCGAGCGCACCGATCCTGCGGCCCTCTGGCAGCTGGTCGGCCACGGACCGCACCGCGGCCACCGTCGCCGCGTTGTACGTCGTGGCGAGCACGTTCGTCTCGTAGAACGGCTTGACAGCGTCGAACGAGCCGCCGGGGAAGAGGTTCTCGGTCGCGTCGAGCTCGCCGCGCAGCACGGGCGTCAGGCCGGACCCGATCCGGACCACCTGCGCGTACGTAGTCTCCAGGTCCGGCGGCAGGGACACCGACAAGAGGGACTCGTCCAGCTCCGCCTGCTCGCCCGCACGGGGCTCCGCCCCCGCCACGCCCGCGCACCACGCGAGCAGGTGCCGGTGGTGCGCTTGCGGCACCATCTCGGCGCCGAGCGCCGCCTGCGCCTCGTGCGCAAAGCGCGTCGCGACGCCCTCGACGTGCTCGAAGCCGGCGTTCACGAGCGGCCAATCGAGCTCGCCATGCACGGCGTCGATGCACGCCTCGAGCGCGCCAGCAACCACCCCGACGCTCGCGGCCCACTCGCCACGCGTCGACGCGGGGCAGTGCAGCGCCAGCCGCGGCACACGCGTGCGCCCGCCCGAGAAGGCGACCTCCGCCTCTTCGGTCGTGCTCGTCTGCAGCGCGTTGACGCCGCCCACCACGCGCACGCGGCCAGCCAGCGCGCACGCGGCCAGCGACCGCAGGGCGGGCCGGTCGCCGCTCGCGACGTCGGCAAAGAAGAGCTGCAGCTCGGGCGCCTCGAGCCGGGCGGCCCTGGCCAAGCCCCGCAGCCCGCCGTTCCTCGCCGACGGCGCCGCGCTCCAGAGGCTGCCGCAGCCGGAGCCCGCCCGCGCCGGGCCACCCACCCCGCGCGGCGGCGCGTCCGACGACGTGAGCAGCCACACCGCGCGCTCGCCGCGCAAGTGCGCCACCAGCAGCCCGAGCGCCTCGTGCAGCACCACGAGCTCCGCGCCGCCGCCCGTGGCGAGAAGCACTGGCCCGTGCGCAGCACCGTCCTCCTCGACGACGGCGGCCTCGGCCAGCCACTCGCGCGCCGCCGCGGGCGCGTCGCACAGCGCCTGGGCCAGCCGCGCGCCGCGCAAATCGCCAGAGGGCACTAGCACGAGCAACGGAGCCGCCGCCGCCGCCGCGCCCGCGCCCTCGTCGTCCGCCGCC